TTTAATGACTGGGCGAAATCACGAAATCTCTCCACTCCTACCGACGTCATCTTTCTCGATCTTGCTAAAGCCTTTGACAGTGTCCCTCACGAGCGGCTGCTTTTAAAATTAAAAAGTAATGGCATCGACGGTTGTCTGCTTAACTGGCTCAGACATTTTCTGGTTGGTCGCAAACAACGTGTAGTTATCAGGGGATCTTGTTCTGATTGGTCGTATGTAACCTCCGGCACTCCACAGGGGACCATCCTTGGGCCTTTATTGTTTTTGCTGTATATTAATGACATAACAGAATGTGTATCGTCCACAATCAAATTATATGCAGACGATACGAAGATCTATAGAGAGATAATTGACCCGATCACAGATTGTCAGCGTCTTCAGGAAGATCTTACCAATATTGGCGAATGGGCTTGTAAATGGCAATTACGTTTTAACGCGGATAAATGTCAATCTATGCGAATTACACATTCACGTGATAAGTCAGTGACCAATTATTTCTTTGGACAGCCCTTGAAAGACGTAGATAAATTTAAAGATCTCGGTGTTATAATAACTAAGGACCTCTCATGGAGTAACCACATTGGTATAACTGTGAACAAAGCGAATAAAGTCCTAGGTTCTATTAAACGCTCGATAGGCACCGCTAATGCAAATATTTTTTCTATGCTCTACAAATCTCTTGTACGGCCAATTTTGGAATATGTGGTACCTGTCTGGTGTCCTTACCTCGTCAAGGACATCCATGCTCTTGAGAATGTACAGCGAAGAGCTTCAAGACTTGCTTTAAATCAACGCAAAGGAGACATGTCCTACGAAGACCGATGCAAATTGCTAAAATGGCCTACTCTTTCCGACCGTAGAACTTATCTATCTTTAATTGAGTGTTATAAAATTGTTTTTGGTTTTTACCATTTAGATTTTGGAACCTTTTTTGATTTTGCCACAACTAGATGTACGAGAGCAAATCATCAGTACAAACTTTACGTCAAACCAGCAAGACTTAATTGTTATAAACATTCGTTCTTCATTAGGATTGTTAAATTATGGAATGAATTACCAAGAAACATAGTGGAAGCTGATAATCTTCAGCATTTTAAATCTCAGCTTAAATTGTATTTAAATATTTAATTATAACTAAGTATTTTATTTTCATTTAGACTTATTTTTTAGGGAGTTTTCACATAGGGATAACCTCTTAACTTCCTTTTCTGGAAGCATATTTTCCATTTCCTCTTAGTGTATACATAGTCTGCTTCTGGAATAAATAAAGTATGTATGTATGTATGTACCCGTTGCAACTAAGATCTTAATTATAATCAGTCTTGAACTGAATATATAACGACCACTCTTTTGTCAAACTGCTACTTCCTGTCGACTTTTGAAAGGATCAGTGAGTATATTTCTGATCATAGCCTTTATGGGAGGGGGGCGGGAGATCGCGTAGATGTTATGGTGACACAGCCAAAATCATCAATTAATCCCCCCCCCTTAAATAATGACTGGACTCTTGTTCTTGCAAAGGCGCCTTCCTTTGTTGCCCATCCTACTTGTCGGAATGTATTAGATGATTCAAACTAAACACTTTTGATTAAATTACCAAATCCTTTGGCGTTGCAGTTTGGGCTGGAAAAGAACATTACTGTACATTCTTGATTGTATTACTTTTGCTCATCATTTATTTGATTTTCGAAGATTACACCCCCAATCTTTTTCTGATTTATATTCTCTGGCGTCATGTTAGATTCATTAGGGAGCTTTAGCAACGACGACGGCGACGGCAACGAAAACGTCGTGTCGAAATCTAACTTTTCGTTCTTGTAACTCTATCGAGGTTATTCCGATGTGTTTAACTTGGAAAATGCTGGCGAACTATTCAGGGACTATATCACTAAGAACAGCGTTAAAGTAAGGAGAAAGAAAGAAAAATTAACCGTCATGCACTCACGTTCTCGAGAAAACCTAAATTTTTTTTATTTCACGTTGTTGTTTTGCCGAGAACTGCAAAGAAATGTACCAAAATGTTAAACGCACGTGCAGGGCGATTGTTTTTGCTCATTAAGCCTATTGTTTTCTGCCGTTCTCGTTACCGTCGCCGTCGTCGTTGCTAAAGCTCTCTATTGTTTTGACAGATTTTAAGTACAAAACAATTTCTCAGGACCACCAGTATATCAACAGTTGTTACCGATGCTCAACCGAAATTCGACTAGTGCTAAGTATCCCGCTTCGGTTATCAGTCAAGATCATAAAACCGTGATAGATTATGGAAAATCGACAACCCTCACTCACACTTCTGTGAGCGTGCCCACAACATCGGCTACCTTATACTTTAGAGTGAAGTAAAGTTTATTGATGGTGATACGTGTATCATTACAAGCAGTAGATGAACGAGGTAACTCTTAAGGAAGGAGAGCAGTTATGAAGTATACTTTTTCTTCATCTTAATGTTTCCTGTTTCTAAAAAAATTAAAATTGTAAGCTACCATAATTGAGATTACTGTGCTTCCTGTTCATTTAAACATATGTTCCTCCCTTCTCACTCTCGGACTGCATCACCTTTAGTATTCGTTGGACTAACAGTCGTGCAATGTCGTTATGATCTGAATCCTTTGCTGGTTGGCCTTGCTCCGACGCGGCAGCTCCTTCAGATTGGTCATCGTCAGGTGTTACACTAACTGCATCGTCAACTTCCTTTCCACCAGACTTCGGATCTTTAACTCTTTCTTTTCCCACTGGTTTCTCCAGAGAGATTGAAATATTTTGGTCTTTTGTAGTACTCAATATGGCCTTACCATCAGGGAAATCGGATGGAAAATCTACAGCAAAATCACGTTGTTTAAACTTTAGTGCAACGCAAAGATCGTGGGTGTCTTTGTCTCTACTTGTGCCAGTTATTTCAAACTTTTCCTGGAGAGCGCCATAGATCTTCCCAAAAAGTTCCATGCCTTCTTTCATTGAGTACCACTGTTCTCCCTTTGTTTCTGCTTGTTGCGATGAAGTTGAAGTCCAGTGTATCTCGCCTTTCACCGGTTCACTGTAATATTTCTTCTGATCCTTTTTATTGAAAGGATTACGAAGGCGGAAAGCACTGTCCCCCTTCAGTACCTCTGTAGAAATAAATTACGATGATTTTAGTACAATAAATGAAAGATATATGTGTTATTGACCAAGCGTGAGGTCAAAATGGCTGCGCGGATATTGGCCAGGTTCATTGTTGAAAGAACGAGGTTAATATCCAGCCATCTGATACTGATTTAATATTTAATTTCTGTTTCTTGTATATGAATCTTTTGTTGAGCCGAATTTTATTTTAGATGTTTTAGCGTCCACACACTACCCGCCGAGACTAGCTCTGCTATTTGTGGGTAGTGCGTCATTATGCTAAGTGTCATGTCATGTCTGATTACAATAAAATACAAAATACATCTCGCCCGAACAAGCTTGGTCAATAAAGTATTTATACGGCAAAAAAATTTCGCTTTAATATGAATCAAGACTTATTTATTTCGAGACCCGCCTTTGTAAACACCCATGAAAAGGTTTATACGCAGCAAAACCTTCATTTGCGTTTAAAATTCTCACCATGATGATTTCATTTCTTTCTTCCCGATATGTACTCGTCTTTCAATCATGGCTTTGACAGGGAAGAGAGTGTGTTGCGTGACGAGACCAAACAGCGGCTGTGAAGGAGATAATCTATTATCTTAACACACTACTCAGCAGTGTGTTGTAACCAATAATTTCTTCGACTGGCGAGTGGGCAGCTAATCTTGCAAAGTTTCCTATAACTCGGCAAGGTCCTAATCATTAAACGTCGTGATAACGACGACGCGTTTCTGCGTCGATACATGATAAAAATATTAGTGAATACTCTAACGGTGACTGCCTGGAAAAAAAAAATAGATATCTAAGGTTTTTACCGAGTATTCCCTTCAATGAGGTTTCCTTTTCGATGACACGAATTGGCTTCACGTCCAGTGTTTCATTGTCTAGACCAACCTTCATATAAACAAAGCAGGGCTTTTCTTTATCCAGTTGATCCCCTAAAACAGAATATATGGATCATTAACCAAACAAAATGAGACCTAACAGTGAACTTTGCACTACCCGCAGAACAACATATGTGACTATACAGCTATTCCTCTAGGCTCATGGCTAACTCAGTGTGACGGACAAGACATCCTTTATTCTTATATTTCTAACATGAAATTTTTATTTTAAATAGAGGGAAGGGGTGAGTGAGAATTCTATTTCGTTTGCCCCTAAATCTGGGAAACTGATTCTATCAGCCTCACAACGTTTAGATTTCACGATCGTACGGTCAAAAATTCATCTGCTTGTATAGGTTTTAAAAATATTCAGCATGGCGAATTACCCTCCCCAAAAATTGAATCAAAAGCGAAACAAACCGAACGGAAGTGGTACTTGTAATTGTCTTTGGCGCTTAATGTACAGCGAACACTGTCAATCCCCCAATAAGAAACTGAATTTCGTTTCTTACCGCCAGATTCTTCTGTGCTCCAAATCCCAACTCGTCGAAGAGCATGTTCTTCGAACAACTCTTCTATATCTTCACGTTTCAAGTCCTTAAGACTACCAGTGATATACTGCACGACTGGCTGATTGGAATGAGTCCACAGACCAAACATGTGTCCTCTTACAGACTTTTTATTCGCGATTTGTCGCTTAATCTGCTTCAGTTCACCCTCGTGGATTGTGACTGTCAGGCTCATCTTAACTCGTACTGTCAACCGAAAAAAGCAGTAAATAGACCGCAATAACTAAGCAGCGCGGGGAAAGCAGAGCAAAATGATTTTCACTTTTATTATAATAAACCTTTTCATGGGCCGTAAACAACAATTCTAAGAAACGGTTACGTCATGTGATCCGCTGAGCCTACCGGTTTTTCCCGGAAATGTTTACATGCTAGGATATTCAGATTTTTGTTAAAGCGAATTTACGGAACGAGAGACAAAAGCTTGCATGACAAAGAAAAGTTACAGAAGAACTAGGATGAAAAACCGAAGCAATCATTCACCGTGTCTAAATCCTATTTCTTTAGCCTGTCGAATCAAATCTTCGACGGAGCTTTATGAAAATCGCGAAAATTCGATCGGCTATTGCGAGGTTAAAAAATAAGACTGCGTCTAATTTATAGGAAAAGTGTGAGCTATTTCGGTTTCCAAATACAGTCACGACTGCAAGAAAAAAAAAAAAACTTTGATTTATGTAGAAAATAAAACCTAAAAACTTCGCTTTCTTTCGGATCAATCAGTTGATCCCGAAGTGTGTAGGATTATTCCATTATCTCGAAAGAAATTGTTATGGCGAATCATGTTTTTGCCGATTTAAATTTTGCTGCACTCCTGTCTTTGTAACCCGCGTAAACGAAATGTTTTGGATTCTAGGAAAAAGGCCTGAAGAAGTACGCATTTAACATGGCAGTCGTAATTACGAGCGACAAACACTCATCAATTCTGCCATACAACCAAATTTTTCGATGTGTCCTGTTGAAATTAAGGAGCAATAAAAATAACATAGATCCCATGATTTTTTTAAGCATGCAACATTTCTCTCGGCGCTATGAAGACATGACGTTTAAATTTTTGAATGGAAGAAAGGAATTAATTAATAAATATAGTTTGCATACATGAAAAAAAACAAAGACAGACAAAATTATGTAACCTTATATGGCAATGCAGTCTTGCTTAAAGTGGGCATGACGTTATGACTTTTCGTGGAAAATGAAATAAAATTGCTGGTAGCATTCTATTCCCTCAAATTGATTCTTTGCGCATGTGCACGTCATCAATATTTCAAAACAATGTATCAATGTTAACAACTATAACTCTCCAGTCATTTAAACTGAAGGACCATTGCTGTGCACACCCTATCTCGAAAAAACAGCTAAAAAACAAACAGCTTTAAGTGATGCCCTGGTCACAGGCCCAGAAACAGAGGCTCGGCTACGAGAAAACGGTTTTGGAGAACTATTTTCGCGACAGAGTGACATGGATTAGTCCCAGAGATCAAACGAAAGTGGAAGTTCGAGCCACATGCACCAACAATAGACAGTACACGTTGAGGATTTATCTGCCCTCTGATTTCCCCAATTCCTGTCCCAAAATGGTTGTCAAGGCATCGTCTCGACTGAGGGCGCGTAACGGAGATCTTTTAGAGCAGTATCCAGGTGACAACCATATCGGACAAACCGTAGAAGGCTACACAGGTATCTGCCATTTTAGGCCAAATCGGTGGAGGAGCGAAAACACTTTGTACCAGGTGACCATGAAAGGTCTGATATGGCTGGAAGCTTATGAAGCGCATCTTCGCACAGGCCAACCCTTGAGCCAATTTTTGGTCACGATGCCAGATCGTTAAAAAACCAATTGTGGTTGGTGTTAGACAGAACGATTTGAGAGTTGTAAAACCACACTGATTATAGAATTTATAGAGAAGCATAGCTTGCATTCATGCGATCGAGATTACTGAATTACAATTTTCCGATAGCGGGGTGTAGTATGAATGTACGAGTGAGAATCCTGGTTATGGTTGTAAATAAATTACATAAATAAGGAGTTCCAGCGATGTCATTTGTTTTTCGTTCGATTATGAAAACAGTTAGGTATACAAGGCTCTCTCTCAGTCCCAGGTAAATGAGCAGAAGAGCGATACAACCTCGTTCCCAGGGTCTCTCATCCTCCCGCCCCGAGGTCGAAGAGCGATGATATTCAATTTAGAATTTACCAATGTTAGATGCTTATCTTAAAATCAGCATCCACTATACGAAACAACAAAAGCGACAACCAAATTGGCTTATAATTCAAAATTGTGTTTCTAGCTACGGTTTTTCTGTAAATTCATCCAGAAGTATTGAATAGCAAAATTCTTGGAAACCAGTGTAACTGATGGATGCAATACAATATTTCTGAGATAGAGTTTTTCTAAAAGTCTAATGCTGAACAGTGTTTATGTAAGTGCATTTGTCTGGTGTTGTGGTAGATCTTATTGGGAAATACCAATAACCACATGGTGTAACTCCTTTCTTCTATGTGGCAGAAGCGATAAGAAAGCGTAACTAAATGGTTATGGCGTTCATTAGCAGCAAAAAATTCGGGAAGTTTGCACACACGCATCTGTATTCCGCTTCGAAGAAATGATAAACTTATCTCCTCGGGTTACTTTGATTTTTCAGTCTTTTCTCAAAGAGTTATAATTTCTTAGGCGTAAAATTCTCTAGGCTTCGAAGTCGCAAGTAAATAAAGGCAATTTGCAGCGAAAATTGGGCAACCAAGCTTTCCTTACACTCCACTGATGTAACGAGTTTTCAAGGTAAACTGAAATCTTGTTCGATTCTAAGAAAAACTCAAAAATTGTAAAATTAAATTTTGAGTCAAACTACCGGTATTTCCGAGAAACCTGTTTTTTTCAAGGGCATACGATATTTCTTTCACATTTTCAAGGATCTTTAATTTCCTTAAACTATTTCATACTTCCCTCTTTCTTTTAGTTACTGGCTAGTTTTACAAGAGTTCTGGGTCCAGTCCAGTATATACCATCTGCCCCAGCTCATTGCAAAGTCCTCATTTTCTCGCACTCCGACGTAGCTCTTGGGCATGAAAAACTTGTAGGTGAGACAAGGGTCTTGACCGCATAACAATTGATAGGTTAGAAACATTTTAGCTTAACTTCCGGAAGCCCGCTGTTGTTATTATCCTTTGTTTATCATACCTTTGAGTTATGAGGCGCATTGTACATGTTCTCTTTAATCACCGTTCGATACAATGTAATTCTAAAATATGATAGATATTACGTTAGGAAAAAAAGTTGAAAAATTTTCTTTTCATATTCCTTATCCTTTCTTCTTTTAATATGGAGATGTTGCTCTTGTAGAAAGGCTCGACGAAGGGTCGGAATCAGCACGCGCAACTCAAGAACTGTTCATGGTCCAAATCAAGGCAGAATTCGTGCCCATATAATTTGTGCTTTAAAATTTTAAAATAGTCAGCTTTATTTTCCATTGAAATCAGATGCAGAAAGAAAATAAATTACCTGCTGCAAAGAGTACCGGCCAGTCATGCATAAAAGGCTGTTGTGTTAAAAATAAAGTTTTCCACGAAAAACGCCTATCGGTTATTTACTTTTCATCTTCCTGAATTTCAAGGAACTAAGCAATGCTATCTGCGCATGCTCCAGTTTTCCGGGAAATCTGAAATGTGATGAGACAGTAGAAACAAAGCGGTTCGAATATAAAGTTTCGCAACCGTTCACTGGCTCTGTATTCAGCGAGTGTTCCACGTTTGAAACTTCATGCAGGTAAACCGAAGTCGCCTTTTTTTTTCTTTAAAATGCCATGGTCCGCAACTCAACGACAAAGGCTTGCATTTGAGAAAAATATTCTCGAGAAGTACTTCGGTACCAGAGTTTCATGGATTGATCCAACTCGCAATACAAGGGTTGAAGTAAGAGTGACAACCACCAGTGATAAACAGTATACACTCAGAGTGTATATTCCAACAGATTTTCCGAATTCAGTTCCGCAGATGATTGTCAGTAACCCTTCGTCTTGTCTGAGAATGAAAAACGGTTCATCCATGAGCGGTAGGGATGGGCAAAACCACACTTTGAGCAGCATAGATGGCTGCACCCAGATCTGCCATTTTAACTCGTCCTTGTGGAAAGATAACAACACGTTGTACCAAGTGGTCATGAAAGGGCTTATATGGCTGGAAGGGTACGAAGCACATCATCGCACTGGGCAACCTCTGAGTAAATACTTGCAAGAGATGTAAACAAATTGGCTGAGGACAGGAAAGGAATTGTTCATCAAGACACACACGTATGTGTCAGTAACATTAATTCATACATTTATTTGATAAGATATTCAAAAAAAGCTAATTTAGCATTTCAGTCAAAATATATACTTCATCCAGTCCTAAATCTAAGTCATAATCAATAACCCAAACCGAAGGATCAAGGTTTAGGCACAAGTAAGAAGTCACATTGCTAAAACTTGACCTATTATACCTTTGAAACTCAGATTATTACTCGGGCTTTCCGAAGGAAAAGCCCGAAGTATAAATTCGGCTGTGTTTTTATTTAATTTTTGCGTTCAGTCACAAAACGTAGTTCCACTACAGCGCATGCGTACAATGTAAGCGCATGCGTACAAGGAAGCCTAAAGCGCATGGTTTAAAGGAAGAAGGCAAATGGCTGACTTCCTGGACAATTCCTTGCTTGATGTATCCAAAAGAAATTCGATGGCTATTATGCCCAATGTATATACAAAGTCACACACCGCGGTCTGCACTAAAAGTTGTGGAGGGATTTGGGAACGGGTCGTTTCGCGAACTTTACGACAGATCAATTTACGAGGAATCCTTTATGAGTGAACGTTTTATCGAGAAATATCACGCGAAATCTGCTATATCAAATGAGTTATGTCATATTATGTTTACATGTAAACACAACCGTGTATTTAGACGTGATCGAGAACCCAGTAGAATACCAGAAGCTACTCTGAAACGTCTCAGAAGAAAGGGCGGAAAACTGAAGGAATTTGTTTATGTGCCGGTATTCGTCCAAGCATATGTACCGAAGTCCTCTTGGCTACGTCGTTATGTGAAGGTTAGAAGAGTTACAAAGAATGTTTGTAAGCTTGATACGAAGAGGGTAAGATTAAATAAAGGTACAAAACATGATAAGAAGTATTTGTTGAATTGTTCAGTGAGGGTGTATCAGAGGACAATGAAATTGAAGTATAGAGCAAGGTGGTATTTATCAATGTTTTCTTGTAATAGACCCTTGTGTCTTTACAAGAGTCAGACACACGC